TTCCTGCTTTTTCAGTTTCCAGCTGATTTGCAACTTTAAGATTAACAGGTTGTTGAACTTGATGAATACAGCCTTTGCTGCCTTTTTTTTTTTTTTTTTTTCCCCCTTCCATGGCATTTTTCGAACACGTTTCTGGGGTCCAGAGTTGGCATAGCGTTTCAAGGGGCTCTGCTCCACGCTGCTGCTTCACATGTGTCCCTAAGCTTGGTGGTTTCTGTTTTCTCAATAAATATTTATTGTTTGAATTTATTTAATTTAAATTATTTTAGTAGATTACAGTAGCATAGTGTTTTGAGGTGAGCTGTCATAATTTCAAATTTACATAGGTTTATTTTTCAAAAGAAAAAGTGCCTAAGTCCTGTTTAAATCAAGTTCTATTTAAATGTTAAAATTTTAAATCTTACTCATCCTGGTCTGAGGTTCAGACATTTTTTAGCTCCGTTAAGGACTGTGGTAATGTTATGAAACCAGTGTGCTCAGAATCTTTCACTACAGCGTCTGTCATTTTTCCCATGGGTGAGCTTGTCAGTGCATAGGGATTGGAGAGTTTGGAAAAGCCACTAGCTGTCCCGCACCTTTACTCCTTCCTCCACCATGTTTACATGTCATTCCCTTCTTTGTCCTACGTAGAGAAACCTCTGTTTTGGTTTTCTGATGCTCACTGGTAGCTGACCAATCCTGGAAGCTGATGCTTCTCTGTCCCATTACCTAGGAAGGAGACTGAAATTCCTTTTTGGATTGTTTGCCTACAGTTCCTCTAGGGTTTGTATAAATGCTGATGGATTTGAATCTTGGAGTTCTGACAAATGATGATTATGGCTTTTCCAATTGTATCTGTGCATAACATCACAGTTGGGTGGCCCAGTGGGGCTGAGCGCAGGCTCGGGCTCCCGGCATTCACTGTTGGCTGATCTGGTACAGGACAAGGTCTGTCTCTCCATGTGGTAGCCTGTATGGCAGAAGTGCAGCAGTTGCTACTGAAGACTAAGTAAAAGACAACAATAGCTATTCAGCTTCTTTCCTCTTTCATAGTTGTTAGAAGAGTGTCAGACTTAGTAGGAAAGGATGCCCTGTCAGGTTCCAGCAAATATGTTGGAAATTCTTGCAGATGACTGGGGTTATGTGTTATACAGGCTAAAGGCATACTGCCTTTCCGTTTGTAGATGTGCCATGTTCTTTATTCATGGTGTAACAGCTACACTGCATGCGGGAGTATGTGTCTGTGTAGTTAAAAACAATCTTAGAATTGCATCTGAATGGAAAAAGCTTTCCTGTCCTGGAATGGGGGAGAAGGGTGATTAAGAGGTAGTCCTAAATAGAGTATGGGGAAAAGTTCCTTTGGGCAATTTTTTCCTCTGACTTGTTTAAATTTTAAAACCATGGTTCTTCCAAGCGATGTAAATTTCAAAATGAAAATGGAAAATCAGAGGTTTTGGTATTGGGAAAGCCTTGTTTCATCAACTATGTTACCCAATTTTTTATTCATTTAATGAGACCTTCGTTGAGATTGCTCCTTCCTGCAAGAAATCTGGCTTTGGTGAATCAGTTTTTCAAATAGCTGAAGACGACAGTTCTGTACATGCTATTTGTTTAGTCATCAGAATTTAGCTTTTATAGGTATCTTCAAGTGAAGCACTTCTGAATTTATGGTGTGACTTTCATTCAGGAATGTTCTTTTATCACTTTTACGTATGTGATCTCAAGTAAAGCTAAAGATCTGTTTAGTCACGTATTGATACAGTGACAAGCATATAAGACATGAGCAGGGTTGTAACCTGCTGAGGCACTACCCGGTCTTCCACATGTAGTAACTAGCAGCTGGCATGTCAAATATCTTGCTGCTAAGTGTTATTGGAGAAAGTAGAAGGAGATGCAACGCAGCGTCAGGAAAATAGAAGAAATGCAACGTAGCATCAGGACTGAACCAAATAAATGCTGTGGAGGTCTCTCCCCAGTCCTCTCTTTCACCAGCTCAGGTGCCTGTCAAGTCATGTAGCCAGTTGCTTACATTCGCTAATGTAGCACAAATACTTTTTTTTTTTTTTTTTTTTTTTGCGTAGTTTTCTGCTATTTTGGCAAGTGGAACTGACTTATTGTGTGATGAGCACTAGGGAAGCACTAAAGGAGGGGGAAAAGGTAGGTATGGGTACAGGATGAGGAGCGTCCACTGAGCGTGGTTGGGATCTTTGGCTGTTTAATCTTTCTGGTGAGCGTGTGGAACTAGAATTTTTCAAAGGCTTGTAACTTGCATTGCAGCCAGATTTGCCATGCTTGATCTTTTAGCGCTGTGCTTCACTGTGGTGGAATATGCGGTGGTATGTGGTATTTTTGCCACAAGCATAATTCAGAAATGTTTTTATGATTTCCCAGTGCTTTTGAGCTCCAATTGCTTGCTAAAAAAGTGTGGGATTGCTGGAGCTAGTCAAAGGAATACGATAAAAAAAATGTTTTCCTCCTTCTTGGAAATAGTTGAACTATTTTGGCTGAAACACAGCCTCTTCTGTCTTATGTTCCCTCAAAAATAGCGAACAGCATATGTAAAGTATCAGCAGAAACTGTTAGAACTTTGCCAAGTTGTAAGGAAAGAAAGACAGTGGGAAGTGTTTGATGAAGTTAGTAGGCTTTTTCTCTTTCTTTTTTTTATGTAGCAGATTGTTTTTCATCTCCCTGCTAGACTTTTTGCACCCTTTGAAGTGTTCTATGCTTTAACCAAGGCCATGGTTCTGCTTATACTGTCTTTTCATTTTTCTCACAAACTCTCAGGAAAGATCTATAAAATGATTTAATTTCCAGAAGAAGGGTATAGCTGCTCCCAGATAGAGTCAGTGTCCATGTCAACTCATGGTTGCTTTTTTTTTGCACTAGGTCTTCTATTGAAATGGACTGTTAATTTTATTAAAAAATCTCTCAAATTGATTCTTTCTTAGGCTGGAGCATGTCCTAAGTAGGGGAGAATCATCATCTTCGTGTTTGTTTTTTTTGTTTGTTTGTTTGTTTTTTTTTTCCGAGTATTCCGCAAAGTAGGAAAACTTAATAGCACGTTTTACATAGAGCTGTGTAATGAAGTTTAGTATTGACAGCTGCTCTGTGATGACATTGCTTTTCTCTCTTTTTGCTCAATTCTTTCGCAGTTGCATATATTTGAAATGATGCTGCTGCCTGTATGGTCTGGAAGCAGTTGTTTCTTGACATACTGTTATCTAATCTTATGGCAACTTCTGCCATTTTTTGTTACTATGTTGGTACGTTCAGTGAATCTAAGGAAGAAGTCGATCACTAGGGGAAGTTCTTTAATTAGTCACGGCCATAATATGAAAACCTTGTATTCTGTGGTTGTCGCAGACACATGGAAAGCCTGTGTTTTGAACTAGTGGTTTTTTTAATGGAGTCGGTACAACACAAAATACGCAGTGAGCTTTTATTACATGTTGCTGGCAGTTAAGTCTTCAGAAAAGAAAGAATAGAGCTTTATTATTTATGTTAAGTGCCTTAAGTTCTTTCCTGTAAAAAAATTATATGTATGTTTATCTTCACCTACCATACAGAGGATTTGGTATTTTCATAAATAAGTGTATTCTCCAAGATTAAAGACATATTCATAGAGCTGTTGCAAAAACATTTTATTTGACTAATAAAATTATTTACTTTTTAACATTTAAAAAAAAATGCTTATGCCAGTGTAGCATCTGTAACTCATTGTTGATTTGTCTTTGCCTTGCCATTCCTCCTCTGTCAGATAGTTTTGCTTAGGCACATTATCTTGTAGTGCTCCTGGTGAATTTGCTTGGTTTTGCTGACGTTGATAATCATCTTTGAAGTGTGTTGGTTTTCTGCAACTACTAGTCTCCTAGCTAATTAAGTACTGACTACATCAGTATTTATCATAGCTGTATAGCAATCATTGGTGTGTGTTCCTATGAAGTTGGCAAAGTTTAGAGTCATCATTATGATTTTTCTTTATTTAAGAATGGAATGTAGTTTTCTTGTAGCCATGACTTTGGGACTGATTTTTTTTTTTTTTTTACTTTGTTATCTTTCTTAAACTTTGAAAAGTATAATAAGAATAAACACACACTTTAGTGCTTACAAAATATATTCTTAGCTTTAACAGAGAGGAACTTCTAGTATCTCATCAACATTGCTATGGACTATATAAATTCTAAAATTCAAAAATTAACTATCTAAGTATTTTTAAATCTGCATCTGTTTTTAATTCTGCACCAGTCCTACTGGTGCAGAATACTTGGGGCAGTTGCTTAAGGTTCTTCTTTTTATTGCCATCAATAACATAATTTGCCTTTACTGCTTTGAGAACAAGAACTTATACCCTAAGTAATTAAAGTCGTAATAGATTCTCTTTTTGTAATTGCTTTGTTTCTTGTTGGTTGTTGGTATACATCTTGCTACAGCTGTACTTTAGGAGTATGTCACTGGGCAAACTCCTCCCTTATCTTTTTCTCTCATGTGTCCTTCTCATTTTTTTTCTCTTGTTTTGCGCTGTCATGGCCTCAAAGTTTATAAAATGCTCCCTGAGACAGGCTGAAAATAATGTTTAAGATGACTTCTGGTACAAACTGAGCACAAAGCATTTTTTTACTATGGTTTTCTCTTTTACATTATTGGTAAAGCTTTATTTCGTAGCAAAACCTTTGTGGAAGGGGCTATAATGTAGGGCAGAACCCCTTCTGCCCGTATCCCACCTATAGATCTCTGCACACCTGCTTCCTAGCATTGTCTGAACCTGTGGGGGGAGGAGGACGTGCAGTGTTTGCTCTAGAAGCTGCTGGTGTACTTGTTCTAGGGAGGTAACACTTGCTTCCCACCTGGAGCCCTACTGAGATACAGGTTTGCATGGAGAGCTGAAATTCCAGCAGCTCCTCAAGGTAACTCTGTCATCACTTGCAAAGTATTACAGGGGCATCTTTACTTGAAGTACACTATTTTTATTTTTATTTTTATTTTTATGACAGCATTTCCTGCCCATAGTTACTGAAAAGGAAATGTTCAGCTGTTTGGTTTGGATGTTCATCCTGCTCTGCAGCTCTATAGCAGGTATGTTTCTTGATTATATTAGCACCTGTCTTGCCGTAAGAAAGTTTTCCAGAAGAGGACCTTCTCCAAATGAAATTTCAAGGAGTTCTGAAAATGAAAAGAATGTATTTTAAAAATAGAAGTTAGTAGGTGATTGACTAAGTAGTGTACAGTATAGAGAGAAAAATTAATTTATGTCACTCTTGGTGTCCTTTTGTGGAATGATAATTGTGATCATGATAGCCTGGATTTGTTTTCTTTTGTATTTAAAGTATTTTAAAACTCACTTTGTTAACTGTTTCCCTGTTGCACAGGATATAGAAAGGGAATCTGCATCCAGAAGTCATATCATAGTTCAGTTCTTGTTGGGTTCTAAAGGCTGGTAACTTTGGAGATCTGCTGATGGAACAAATGAATGTTTATGTAACACCTGAACACTTAAAATGCAGTTAATATTTTCTGGTTTTGGACTGTTTTAAGTCAGATATTGCCTATTCAGAGGTTCAAGCAATGACTACTAATGTTCTCGTTCCTAATTTTAAGTCACTTAACAATGTGTGACTATTGATTTTTTAATTTTTTAATCTTTTTTTTTTTTTTTTTTAATGTGGTAGTTCTCATTCTCTGTGTTGTGATGTAGTGATTTTTTGTTTGCTGAAGGCGGAAGAGCAGGGATTTCTGTACTCTGTCTGCCTCTCATCTCCCTCTCCATGCTGGAGTTCATGATTATATGGCTAGTTGTGGAGCGGTGAGGAATCTGATCTGGACGGAGGATGATGTTATTTTTTGCCAAGGTTTTATTTTTCATCTGTATCAGTTTCCTTTTGGTTCACTACACTTCTTCTGGGGATAAAAGCAGTGAATGAGTGGTTGAGGATTAAAAATACTCCTTGTGACAACAGTGCCACTTTAAACAGATTAATTTGAATAGTATAGGTTAGAATAGGAAATCACAAGGACAGATTGAAATAATGACTTTGTGACAGTAATTGAAAGTTCATGTGCAATTTATCACAACTTCACACACAACAGTAATTTATTATATAATTATATAATGGCATTTGTGTCAAATTGGGGATTATATGGAAGAGGGGTGAATATGTTTGTTGAGGCTTGAACAATATATGAAGCAGTGCAGGTAATTGCTTACAACTAATACACAGTAAAATTTTTGCGGTAGAGTGTAAAATAGCCATTAGTGTGACTTTGAAACATGAAGAAATTACTTTGAAACAAAAAGGACACAAAAAGAAACAGGGAAAGCAATTTACAGTTAATACACACAAAGGAGAGGATTACCAGAAAACAAGGAAGTAAGTTTAATATTTTATTCCCTTTCATTCCTACATTCTAGCAAAGAAATGCTGTCCGTAAAAGTTGGGGGGGTTGGTTTTATTTAACAGATGTATTTATGAAATTTGGCTTCAAGAAATAAGTAGCAGCAAAAAAAGAAACAGCTAGCTCCTTGCAGGACTCTAATGGGTGATTCTTGCACTGTTTGATAACTTTGTTGCTGAATTCATTCGCTCAGCCTGCTTTTCCTTTTACATGCATTTTGTATACAATTCCTGCACTGTATCTGGGAATATGAAGTCTGTGAGGGGTAAAAGTACTAACGAGATAGTGAAATATATTGCGGCTTAGTTGTAAATTTTAAACTTACCAGTTTGATGTATTTTCTGCTATAGTAATCAGTAATGATAACATCTAAATAGTGTACATACACATATATGAATGTTTTTAAAAAACATTTAAAAGACAAGAGTAAGCTGTTAAAAAACACTTGAGTTGAAATTTCTCCATTATTTCTGGGAAGGTATAGAAACATCATTCTTATATAATACCTATGGTAATACAGTAATTAAGGTGAACTGAGTTTTCAAACAGCAGTAGCTGATTTGAGTGACTAACTGAGCATTTTATTTTAACTGCATAGGAAAAAAATCTAATGAAATGATCTGTAGACAACAAAATAAGTTATCATTTTTCCACTGGTATTTTATAAGGAATTAGGTTATGTGATATCTTTGATTTTGTTTTTAGATGAGAAGTCTATCAGAGATGCTGTCATTTTTCCTTCATCTCCTGAAATTGAAAGAGGATCCACCCTGAAGCTATTTTGTGTTCTCGGAAAACACTACACACCTCACAGAAATGCAAGCCACATAATCTGGAAATTGAATCATGAATTGATTGCTCAGGAAAACTATAACATTGTGAACGAAACTGTATCTAGTATAACCATCCGTAATTTCACTTACAGCAAAGTGCATGTGAAATGTTTCACGGAGTATTTGGGCAAGGAACAACTTTTGGTTCATACTGAAGTTAAATCTGGCTGTAAGTATGCAGAAAAACGAGTTTAACATTTTTTAATAACTTCAGAAATTTTACTTTTAAGGCAATACTTTTTTTTTTATTAGCTTGTGGCATTGTAAGACACCTGTATTGAAGTATATATCTTTCTTTTTTTTTTTTTTTTTTTTTTCCCCCTGAAATAAAGCATGCAATTGCAAGCATTCCTTACTGGCAGTGGTCCATAACCTCTCTGACCCTGATTTTTGGCCAGCTGAAGTGAGTGGAGGTTTTCAGAGGGTACTGGGTCCGTCTCTTTGGTTATGTCTTTTGTCTAGCTTAGCTAACTTCAGCTTTCTCCAGGGAGGATTTCCTCCCTGATCCTGTGTTCCAAAGAAATTACAGTTATAACCTCTTATGGAGAAGGGTACAGGACAAATATATATACAAATTCTCTAATTTATTGAACAGATTAAGTCCAGATTATACTAATGTATGCCTGGGCGTCCCATTCTAGTAAAGAAACAATAAACACAGAAAAATACATGTGTGGAGTAAAAGCCAGCAGAAGGTATTGCCTGTCTGCAAAGTTTAGTGTGCGAAAGAAAAACCTTTTGAGTGTTATATTAGGTGGGACAGAAAAGTAACATTTTGGAGAGAGGGCTTTTCAACTGGTTTATTTCACTGGGCGCAGTTTTCTTCCTTTCAACTCCAGTTTCTTCTGTTGAGTGAAGAACAAGGAAGCTGGCTTTAACAAAGCCATCTTTGAGGGTGTTACATTTTTGTGGATGACGTCAGACTATAGCGATTGCAGAGGGTTGCTTCTTTTGCGCTATCTTGCTTGTAAGATAGAGAGTCCAGAATTTTAGTGGTCACTTCAAGGGCATATAGATACATTTCCCAGGAAGTTTTCTTCTGCACTCTGAGGTCATGCTGGCTTCTCAGATTAGGGGTTTTCATAGATTATGTGGTTAGACATTCTGGGAAGGAACCAAGAAGAGATTTATCTTTCAGAGAATGCCTTTTCCTGAACTTTTGTGCTGTTTCTTTGTTTTCCTCTTACTCTCTGGACTGGCCTTGAACTACAGGCATGTTGTAGGGGCTATGCTTAGAGGTTCAGGACAACCCATGTAGTGGTTTGGGTTAATATAATGAGTTACTGCAAAAATACCTTCAGGCCCACTTAATTAAGTACTTCTGAGAAGTAGTTGGAGAAAATCTCCGTGTCTCCCCAGGGGAAGAAAGAGTGGTTTTGGTTTTGGTTTTGTGAGGAGTCTTGAGGGCAGTAAGAAATTATAAAATGAAGTGCTATTCAAGACACTTAGTGAAGTTTGCCATAATCTGCCTTTTGGCCAACAAAGTCAGTTGTATGTTGAAATTACTTATTTTTACTGGACATTTTTTTTAACCGTTGTCATTGTAGTTCTACCAGAGACACCGAGAAATATTTCCTGTGTTTATTTCTTTGATGCTGAACTTACCTGCACCTGGACTTCAGGAAGAGAAACAAATTTTATGACAAACTATACTCTTTACCGAAAAATGTAAGTATAGGGTATATTGGGAACTGGGTTGCTGGGGTAAGACCATCAGTTCCCTTCCCCTCATGTCCTGACTTCTGTTTAAAGAAAACCTGGAAGCATGATGGAGTTCAGAGTCATGGCATTTCCTCAGTAGATTCAATTAATTTGGGGTTGGTAATGTTTGGGAAAAGTTACAATCTGATACCTTTTTTTAGTCTGCTGTACAAAGGAAATAAACATTCTCAACCCAATATTCAGTAGACAAATGTTTACATCAGTATTGATATTCACTTGTTTCTTGAAGTAACACTACTAATTGGTAATCAAAAGCTGAGTGAGCCTAAGTACAAATGGAGAATGGAGGCACTTTGTGGGAGTGTTACCTAGAAACTTTCTGAGTAACTAGCTATCCTCATTTTGGATGTCCAAAAAAGATTACTTCCTTCTCTACTTTAAACAATTTCCAGTTAAAACTATTAAAGCCCCTGTTATTGTACTTGACACCAGAGGGTTTTAACCTGGGGACCTTTGGAGTCATAAGGTTTCAGTGAAAGAATCCAGAGTTAGTTGTCCTTTTTGGATTGCTCTCATCTGGGGATTTGTATTTACAAACACAAATTATGTAGTCTCATGCTTTTTAGTGGTTTTGTGACCCCTGTTATAGAAGCCTAAATACTTGATTCTTTCAATTTCTGTTAAATTAAGTATTGTTTATGAACTTACTTTTTTGTAAGTTGTGAAAATTGTGAAACCAGTGCTGTTCCAAGGCATATCTGAGATACAATTTTGAAGGTGATAGCACAGATTTTGTCCTGAATGTACTCGTCAGTCTGTGCTTCATAATAGTGCTGCTAGGAGTGCTCTTTTTCTGCCTAATCAAGACTCTAGTTAATATGATTTCAGGAACAGTTTTCTAAAATGTCTAAAATTATTCTTGAGAACTGGAAGGAATTCAGACTCCAAAGGAGACAGTTCTTATTGTAAGTTATGCTAGTGTATGGGATCTTTTTTTGTTTGAATCGTACGGCAGGAAAACATCTTTAGTTTCATCTCCATTTTACGCTTGACGTTTTAGTCTTCCACCTTCATTAGCTGGAATTTCTTACTCCTTCTAGTGTTTCTATGTTTTATAACTTAGCTGAGTTTGTGAAACCATAAACTAGAACAGCTATAGAAAGTAAGTTTTAATATTCTTGCTTCCTGTACAAGCAGAAATTCTTCTTTAACCACACAGTGAATTGGATTGCAAAACTATTTCCACTAAAATCTAACCATTAATTTTAATCCAGATAACTCCCTAGCTGAGTTTACTATATGACTACAAAAGCACTGGTACAAGGAGGCAGGGAGCTGCAGATGAAAACAAATAGCTATGCATGTTGGGGAAGGTAGGTGACCAGCAGGTCGAGGGAGGTGATTCTCCCCCTGTACTCTTATTCTGGTGAGACCCCACCTGCAGTGCTGTGTTTAGCTCCGCGGTGCCCAGCACAAGAAGGACAGGGACCTGCTTGAGCGAGTCCAGAGGAGAGCCATGAAGATGATCGGGGGCTGGAGCACCTCCCCTGTGAGGACAGCCTGAGAGAGTTAGGATTGTTCAGCCTGGAGAAGAGAAGACTCAAGGGAGACCTTCTAGTGGCCTTCCAGTACTTCAAGGGGCCTACAGGAAAGATGGGGAGGGACTCTTGATCAGGGAGTGTAGTGATAGGACAAGGGGTAATGGATTCAAACTGAAAGAGGGGAGATTTAGGTTAGATATTGGGAAGAAATTCTTTCCTGTGAGGGTCATGAGGCACTGGAAGAGGTTGCCCAGGGCAGCTGTGGATGCTGCTCCCTGGAGGTGTTCAAGTCGGGTTGGATGGGTCTTTGAGCAACCTGGTCTAGTGGAAGGCTGGGACGAGATGATCTTTAAGGTCCCTTCCAACCCAAATACCATGATTCTGTGACTGCTTTGTTTTGTAGCAGTGCAGGCTTACACTAGCTTTAAAATGCTTGTGAAATACCAGCCTCAAACTGGCTTTTCTAGTTACACAAATTATCTGCTTGCTTACTGCATAATATGAAGGCCCCATATATGAGCTTTTATTTGTTGAAGATTTTTTCTGTGGGTTGGTAAAATGAAACAGATTTTCTTAGTTTTGCATCCCACGCTACTTGCTATGAAAATGTATGCTGTAAAGACAGCCTGTTAGTGTGTTCTTTCAGGAAATCTGTCAAATTTGTATTACCTTGTAATAGCTTGGCAGTGGTACAATTTGTCTTTTCTTTTTTTCTGTATTTAAAAGATGAAGAAAAGCTTGTTATCACATTGTTCCATGCGGCGTGTGTTACTAGCTCTGTCTAGCTGTTTTGAAAGGAGGTCTTGTGTGCAGTTACATGGTGTCACTTATCTTCGAGGTTTTGCTCTAAAATAATAACAACATGTGGATCCCCCATGAAGGCGTTTTACTCTTCATTACTGCTCCTGGAAAGTTGTCTTACTAATTGCAGTTAAAACTAATTGAGTCTATACAGGCAATATGCATTTGCAGGAGTAGTGCGATTAGGAAAGAGTATTCGTTTGCACAAACACATCATCCAAGGAGATGTTTGCCCGTAAAAATGTCTTGCAACCTCAAAACCATATAAATAATAATGAAATAGTAACCCAACAGTCAGTTTGAGTTGTTCAAAGAAAATCCTCTAATTTCTAACTCCTTTTATTTTTCTCTTTTCTTTTTTAGGATGACAGAAGGAGGGGTGATTCTTCCAAATACAGTGGCCTCCTGCCAAAGCAAAACGGAGTCATGTTCGTTTTATTATCCAAATGCTCCGTTTAGTAGTTCTTTTTGTTTTCAGGTGAAAGCTGAAAATGTTTTGGGTGAAGCCTCATCAGATTGTGTTCCTATACCTATGGAAGAAATAGGTAATTAAAAAAAAAAAGTTAAATAAAGATAAAGCAGCATATGTTCATCTGACTGCACCCTCCCCAATTCTTTTTTCCTCCCTGTAGCATACAGGTTAGACAATGCTGAAACAAATTGTGTCATTAAAGTCGGTTTACATAGAAGAAAATAATGAAAAACTAGTTGTTCAATACAATAGTTTTGAAACTATTATTTGGGTTTCATTTGTTTTTAAACTGGTTTCAGTTTTGAAGTGCTGTCTGACTTTAAATGGTAGCTAAAATTACAAAGTCTCTGAACTTACATTTAGGATTTAATAAAATGTTTCATCCTTTCCAGTTTTTTCATCAACATTTGGGCGCTTCCAATTTAGTTGAAGCAAATCTCTTGTTGTGTTTTAATTCTTGGCCTTTCCATGTAAAATTCTTCGAACTAGTTGGTGGTACAGCAGCTATTTCCAGCAATTATTTGGTATTAGCAAGAAAGGGCTGGTGAAAAATGATAGTGTGCTGTAGTCATACTATGAAATGTTGAACTACAACTATTTTTTTAAGCTAATGTCTGACATATCCATTATAAGTTACTGGTTTTAATTATTAACAAGTAAAGACCATATACTAAAACTTTTTGTCAAACTAAGTGGTACTTGGACTGTATTTTTTGTATGTTTGAGTGTCAGTGCAATATCTGGCTGCAAATGAATAGTGGTGTTATCATTTCTCCAGGTCCACCACCACTTACTCTGCTATCCTACCTTCTGGTTAGGAATGGTAAAAAAAGGTTGTTGTGTGATTCCCAGGAGAAATAATAATATTTTATCTACTTCTTGTCCCTCTGTGGTGTGCTGCATTTTCCTCTGTTGATTTTGGTGCAGTTAATCAACAACCCATTTAACTGAGTATTTTTGCTGCAGCACTCCATCAGCTCTCCAGTTTACTCCCTGTGTTCAGACCTGCTGTGGCTCCCCATTACTTTCCACATTCTCTGTACGAGCCATCTGTTTTCTCAGTGCTAATACATTCTTTTCCCATCATCTCCTTCACACTTTGCTCCCCCTCAAATCCATTCCAACTGAATTCTTCCCTCATCTGCAGTTTGGACTTGACTTTGGCATCCCAGCTCCACTTTGTTTCTTTTCCCTGCTGTTGTCTCTTAGTAGTATTCTTCAGTGCTGATACAGAAAGAAATCTTCACATCTGTTTGAGAGTGGGTTTGTCAGCATTAAATCAGTTATGTGTGCAATCTCTCTTACAGATAACTTCCCATATATAGAGTTATGTCTATGAAATAGACTGTCATGTGAATACTCTGATAGGATGCATGTTATTGGGATAATTAAACTTCTTGGAACACACATAGATGGAGCAATTATGAACTTTTATAGGAACATTTTTGACAGTTAATGTTTTTTTTTCTCCTTTCTAGAGAAATTTGAACCTCCTGAAATACTTTCAGTTAAAAAAATCACTGGTATAAAGCAGTTGCTTATAGTAACCTGGAAAATGCCTGAGAAGATTATTCCTTCACAAGATTTAAGATGCGAGATTCAATACAGAAACTTGTATTCAAACTCTTCGGTAAGCTAGATAAATTTTCTTCTGAATGTTAGCTTCTTTGTGAGTAATTTCTTGTATGTTATAAAAGGCTAAGTAGAAAAAAAGGCAACAGGTAGTTGGAAATAATGGTTAAAACCTTGTTATTTTAGTGGAGCATAATTAGATATACATGATCTTAAGATCATTGTTTTGTTGTCTAGGATTAATTGTTCTCTTCCTTTTGGTCAATGTCTGTATTTGTACATACCATACTTCTGAATATATTTCTGTGGAAGGCTAAGGGATGACCTTAGGCTAAATGTTTACACACAGTCAAAATATTTTATTTTCCTGTCTCATTCTGGTGTTGAAAACAGCATTTACTCCCAACCACAATAACTGAATCAGATTAAGATGGACTAATGATACATCAGTTTTCAAGTGAATTAAAGTATAAATTTTGCAAGATGGAAAATAAGGGAATGTAGTTTTATGAGTTTGTCTTTCTGATGCCTAAATGGAACTGTTACAGAAAAGATAGTATTTAGTCATTTGCTTCTTTCAGATGGCCTATTCCAGTGCTCCTCAGTATGGAAGTGATTCTCTTTGCAGTCTTACTGCTGCTTCTTCCACATCTAAGAATGGGATAAGTTGCCTGGCTTGCTGAGGTGTCTGCCTTGACCTTATTTTTTTCTGTAATTCTAGGAGAGAAGAATTCATGAGGATAATAGTAGTCCTTAGAGCCTCAGAAAAGTTTCTGATACTACAGATGTTTCTAATTAGCATCCCTCTCACATTCTCATGGCGAGCATCTTTACTGCAGATATGATGTATTAGCTGTTGGATTCAGGATATAATATTCGGGATGATCTGATGGGTGGGACGGCTCAGGTCCACCTGGGACATTAGAAACCGAACTATTATTTGAAAGACCCGTTCAAGATGTTTATCCCTTTGGAGTCCAGACACTGGTGTCCTTGTGATGCTTACATTCACATGAGATCCTTCCCAGATGTTGAAACCATTCACATTTTTGCAACGTTACAACATTATTGTGTATTGTGTCTGTTTGTCAGCACCTGCATAAGAAATCATCTGTCTACTTTTTCACTATCAAATATAGTCTGCATCCATTTTCTTCCTCAGAATTTACCTGCATTTTTCCACAGACATTCTAGAGAAAAAATAGTAGCTGTGATCAGTAAAGACAAAAATCCAGTGAGTGTAGTTCTGTAGGATCTTAGACAGGCACGATTCATAGTTTTATCTGTAGCCAATCCAATGGCAATGGCCAACAAAGACAGCCTCAAACTATCAGTTAGATATACCAGCTGTTCTTCTGCCTCTCAGCACAGATATGCAAAAAAAAAAAAAAAATTGTTTGAGCAAATGACAGATACTTTCTTGGCCTTTTAACCCTTACTGCCAAAACAATCTAAATAGTTTGCTGTGAAGTGTTTTTATTGAGTGACAAAACAGATGACCTTCGTTTCTATTTGCATATACTAAGTTTCTAATTATAATTAAATACTGTTAACATCCTTTTGGCAAGTAACTACAGACTAGTCTGGTGTGTCTTCAGTTCTACGTCAGGTTCTGCAGGAGGTTGATAATAGTTTTGAAGCCCTTTTTATTGCAGGTTGGCTAAAGAGTCTGTCACCTAGCAGTGGTTTCTAGATCTCTGCATTCGTTCTCATAGAAGGAGTTTTCTATTTTTGACAATGAGTTTCTTGAGGTGGACAGAATGGTTCCATTAGGCAATGCACTTCCCATCATGGTGTTCAAAGGAGTGGGTGTCTGCATTTTGTATTGTAATAGTTTGATTCACTTTTCATTGGAAGGCTCAACTGGTCGGAGACAAGAATTTCTTCACAGGTTTTTGGCTCTGTTGTTGTATATCTACGTGACATTACCACTTCAGTTTGGCTCCCAAGAGGGAATCTTCTTTATTCTAAAACTTACCTTTGCTGACCCTGTTAGAATTTAGCTAGCTTGAACATTAATTGTGCGTCTTTCTGTTTCAGTCATCTGAAATTTGAGAGAAGGAGAGTTAATTATTGATGAATTTTTGCAGTTTGGAAGAGAAGGCATTAATGTTGGTGTAGTGATTATATCAATCCTTCCGTACACAAATACTTAAATCCTTCCATAGTTCCTGTTGTTCTGCTTCCTATTGTCAGTCCAGTTCAGTTGATGCATCAACTCACATTCCTGGTTTTCGTGTCTTCTTTCAGCTGTTGTTTTGGATCAACAATCTAGCTTCTGACTTCCATCAGTGAGATGTGAGTGGGCTCCTTCTAGGAGGAAAAAATGACAAGGAAATTACCCTGTTATTACTTTTCGAAGAAGATACTGCATCAGTTGTTTCTTATACTCTTGTCCACTTAAAGGCTCCATCTTATTTTTTAATCTTGGTACCAGAATTTTCTGTGTTTTCTTTGGTCTTTTCGTTTTAATCATACGGTGATAATCTTTGGGATGGCCTACAGCCACACTGTCACATGGCTAAGAGCTAGAAGACCCTGTAACTCTGCAAATCAAAACAAGATAGCGATAGAACAAGGGGAAATGGCCTTAAGCTGCACCAGGGGAGGTTCAGGCTGGATATTAGGAAGAATTTCTTTACTGAAAGGGTTGTCAGGCATTGGAAAAGCCTGCCCAGCGAGGTGGTGGAGTCACCATCCCTGGAGGTGTTTAAGAGACGGGTAGATGTTGTACTTAGGAACGTGGTTTAGTGGTGTAGGTAGAGCTAGGACATGTGATGATCGTGAAGGTGTCTTCCAACCAAAACTGTTCTATGATTCTATAAGAAAAGAAACAAGTACCCATCTGGCTCACAAGCTGCAGGTGATCACTGCTTCCCCAGGGATGCTTCTGCTATGAGGTCAGCTGCCTCCGGGATGTTATGGTGATACTGGCTTTAGCAATACCCAGTTGCTTCCCGCTAATGGGAACTGCAGTCATCCAGCACTTCCTATGGTAGCAGAGCTGCTCTAGAGCCGCCTGTGAGCTGCACACAGTTCAAGTGATGGGTCGGCCAGTACAGACCCAAGTTTTTGCTCAAGTTTTTCAAACCCAAGAGTTTTACAGGAAGAATGAAGATGCTCACAGGAAATTTAAATATGAAACAAGTAGGTTTGGGTTTCAGAGGAGTGAGGTAGGAAACACAAAAACTGCATCCTAGGTATTTTTTTTAAAAAATAAGCAGATATCTGAATGCAATTTTATAGCAAATAATTTTTGTTCATTTATCTACTTTCAGGGAATTGTCACAGTCCCACTGAGTTCTGCAGAGAAAACAGGATCATGTAATCTTACAAGTCTGCGGGACTCCACTGAATATTCAGTTGCCATTCGGTGTATGAGTGTTATGTCAAAATTCTGGAGTGAATGGAGTAGAGGGAAAACAGCGAGCACAGAAGAGAAAGGTAGGCTAACTATTTAGTAAGTTTTTCTTTGGTTATCCTTTGAGGCATTAGGATTTAATAATGGAAACCTGTATTTTCAGCGTATTATCAGTCTATTGAAATTAGAATTCTGTGGTTTAAACATGTATATTTAGTTTGTAGAAGAGGGAAAACTGAAAGACAAGAGAAAGGAGTGGAGGTGATTTGATAAAAACAATATAGTGCTAAGGAAGAAAATGGGTGGACAGTGAAGAGGGGAAAAATGAAGTGTGTAGATGGAGAGTGACCTTTGCTAAGGAGGACAGCAGCAGAAATGTAGTGTAGTAAGTATGTCCAATAAAATTATAAGGAGGGAAATTAAATTGCGAGTTATAAAACAAGACTAGAAATTCTCCTCCAGAGTTCAACAAATAAAAGAAAGCAGAAGGAAACTTATGGAAAGAGAGAAGCTGTACTGATTAGGGAAAAAAGGCACATTACGCAAGGGTAAACTTATTTTTTTGTGAGTTGCTTTGAGACTGTATTTTTGAAACCTTTTGATTGTTTTTACTGTAATACACTATCTTTTTAATATATCAACACATTTCAAGGTATTTTTTGGTCTTTAAATAGCTCCTTCAGAAAAAGTGGATTTGTGGAGGGTGATTGAGTCTTCACACTCAGCTGGAAGTAGATCTGTACATATTCTGTGGAAGGTATATATTCTTTTTGTGAATTGATAATCATATTGGTATCCTGCAGCTGATGTTGCATTGAAGTATTTTAGTGTTTTAGGACATATAACTGCCAAGGGGGTTTGCTGTCATCAGAAAAAATACTCGCTGAACTAAAGCAGAATTGAAAAGGCTTTCGTTTACTGAATGGTAGATGACTAGAGTTTTGTAACCTGTGCAGAAAGGAAGGGTTTAATTGTGTTCACATCACTGGAAAATCTGATTGAAAGTCCTCACAACTGCTCTTAAATAATATGGCTTACCAAACCTGTGGTTAGATTCACCTTACTCTTCTGGTAAAGTGACCAGAGGCTCTTTGCATTTCAAACCTCAGTATTTGACTTCTAAACCTTTCCTTCAATGAAATTGTTTCAGTTGACTGTCCTGAAGATGGGACTGAAGAAAGTGCCTTGCTTTTGTAAATATAATATAACATTTTGTAATTTGATCTAGACTCTTTAATACAGTATCTACTTTTGATTATACAAATAGCACTGTGAAACACTTACTGCTGCATATTTTTTTAATAGCCATTAAACAGCTTTCAACCTTCTGGGAGAATTCTAGGCTACAAAATACAGTATTTTCCAGAAAACAATGCTGCACTTAAAATGACAAACATCTCTACCGATAAGAAAATTAGTTTACTTTTAAATGAAGAGGCATATATAATATCTATTTCTGCCTATAACTCTGCTGGAAATTCTCCTGAAGCTATTTTGAGGATTCCATCCACTGATGAAAAAAGTAAGATTTCTCAATGTTGTGATATATTTTTCTGATTATCAAAAAAAATTATCTTCCTGACATCTGTTTAAGTTCTGTTATAGTGGAAGCGAAATTGTGCTAAGACTTTTGACATAGATCTATGTATATAGGACTGTGTTATGTACAAAGCTGTGTAGTCCGTTACTTTTTACTAGAACAATATTATCTTGTTGTCGTATTTTGCTATCATGTCATGTTTTTGTTATAGATGGTCATTTTTTGAGGTTTTGTTTTGAGATACTGTTGTTAAGATATCAGCACTTTCTGATGTCTTATTAGAATTTCTATTTTATTAATTTCTGCGGGTTTTTTGGTTCTGTTTTTTTTTTTTTTTCACTTGGACCGCCCAAATAAATCTATAGTGTCCCACCCGATTCTGTCTCATCCCTCTGCTATGTCATAAAATTGGCTACTGCTGGGCATTACTGCAGCGCGTTTAATCACATCATTCAAAGATGTGTTTAACAGAAGTCCATAAGATGCATCAGTGGAAGAAGAGGGAGAAACATTGTATTTATTCTTATTTCGTATGCATTCCCAAAGTAACTCATCCCACCCACCGCCAGGGTCAGGAAGCTGGTCGGCTCTAGCACAACAGTTGTGTTCTTTGGCTTTTACGTTTAATTCTGCTATTTCTGTGAGTCTTGCATTGCAACATCCTGCTGCCTACCCATGATCCAGAAGAGAGGTTGCATTTGACACACTTGAATCACTTCTCCTGCATCAATTGTTCATGAAACAAATCCAAATGTTCCCCTGGAATTTCTCAGTCAAATTCTGTAGATGTTAGTCATCTTGTCCCGGAGGCTGCTGACTACCTCTCTATCCACTTTTGTATCCCACAATAAGTGTTTTTCTGATTTTTTCCATGCTGTGACATGGTTTTTTTCCTTCAGCTTTGCCAGGTCTTTTTTCTTCCTGCATTGCCAGGTTGGGTTTTCACTCAGACTTTCATTACCTCTGTTCTGCAGGTTGTTGGTTCACTTTCGCTTCACTATCAGTCATGACCTTGCTGACTTGATTTACCGTTTTCCTATTGCTTTTGTTCTCTCAATCAAAACTTGCTAATCTTCACTACCTGCAAAATTTGTAGTGAATTGGTTTGTAAAATTTTACAAACTGTAAAATTCAGATCCTAAAAGAGACTGGTCTTTGATTTTATATGTGTAAATCTCCTTGATTATAATCTCCTCAATTCCCTCCCCTCCCCTTTTCATTGTAACAATTCTTATATGCTTCACTTTAAAGTGTTTTGAGTACATGCATGTGAACGATGTGAACGTGGGTGTAAAGTAACTTTTTTTTTTAACTTTGACTAAGTCCTATACTCTTCTAAAGAAGCAATCTCAGCTTGCTATAATTGAATTGCTTTCTTGCTGTAGTTTGTATGACGATAGAATTGCTGATGTTTTCTGTTAAATTTTTAGCTTCTCAGGTTATTGAAACAGTGAGGACCTTTACAACAAATGAAGAAGTGTTTGTGGAATGGATAGCCTCCGAATCAGAAGTAACCGAGTATGTAGTGGAGTGGTATAAGGAATTGGAAACAGATCCTTTTGGTAGATCATGGCAATATGTATCAAATTCTACAAACTGGAAAACTAACAAAAGTATGTTCATTTATCAGTTACAGCTGTAACAATATACAGATATATATGTATTCATGTATATTTATTTATAGGTAGACCAGAAAGAACAAACAAGGATGAACTGATCCAGCTTTCCTCAGGCCATTTAAAAAAAATAGCAGTATTTTTGCATGTAATTTAATAGCAATTTTAACACTCTCAAATTCTCATGCAACATGCAAGATGGTGTTTGCTCCCATATAAGATTAGGCGACAGATTTCATGTTTAAGAACTGTGGCTTGATCTTATGCCATGAATCTTCCAGTAGGAGGCCTATAACAGATGTACACTATTTTAGCAGAGAAATCTAGAACCAAAAAAATGAATTTGAAGATGGGAAAAGATCATGTGCCTTCATGTGTGTTAGAAAGAGAGCAAGAGACCTGAAAGAGGATTTGAGGGAGAATTCAACTTTAAAATAAGCAAGTGAAGTGATTGGTCAATCTGGTGCATGAAGTATCACATAATCACATTTGTACTGTGACGTAAGGAGTTTGTGAGAGATTTGAGTGGCCTTATGATGCACTGACAAATAAGCGAGGATGTGCTCACTTTTTTTTTGTTTTAGAGGCTGATTTTTTTTTAACAGATAATCTCTCTTAAGTAGTAATATTTTGGCTATGTGTATGTATTTTTAGTGAAAAACCAAACAATGTGCAGAGCTCGAGATATGTGCAAAGGCAAAACTGTGAATGTTGATAAGAATGTAAATATCCCATGCACATTACCTTTAGCTAATGAAATGTATCTGATTTTATTTATACATTTGGATTTTTTTTTTTACAAACACAGGAATAATGGTGACAATGTTTAGTATCATATATGTAATATATGTGATAAGTGAATTTTGGATTATTACTTCTTTTGTTCTCCATTAGTGAAACTAAATTTATCAGATTTGAAAGTGGTTCTTGTTCATATAAGGATCTTTCTGCATCCTATGTCAAGGAAAAAGAATTTTCAGAGTTTTCAGAAAACAAGTACCCTGCATTTTCTAAAGTGAAAAGGAACACTTGGTTTATTAATGATCAATATAGCTAGCTTTCCCATGTTTTTCTTACTGACTCGGACAACAGTGGCTTAAATATTGTTTCTGTGCTACAGTAAAACAAATCAAATAAAAATCTGCTTGAAGTAAAATTCAAGAGCAGTTTATTACACATCGAACTGAGATGGGTGAGTCTTGAGTCTTATGCTGAAAATTGCACTATTTCAGCAATGTACTGTGAGGAATAAATGCTATTTATAGCTGTTCTCAATATATAACAGGAACAACTTTCCTCCTCAGCAGTAGTAATAGGTCTTTGTTTACCCTAAGCACAAGTCACATTAGAGATGTCAAGGCAAATTCAGACATACTGTAATTTAGGCCTGATTCTGACATTCTTTTGTGGAATTAAGGGTGACATGTGGGCCATCATAACTTTTGCTGGATTGCAATAGGTATAAGGGACTGAAAAAGAAACAGAGAGCTGATACAGTGCGGGGCCATTAATAATAGCCATTATTCTTGCTGAATAGCTTGAGGAGGAATGGTCTAGGAAACGTTTTCTTTACACTGGTTTCATTCCATGGGTTGTAAAGCCACAGGTGTGTCCTCTTAGCGTTGGTGAGAGTTGCTTGTAAGTGGGGGGCGCACCTCATTGTTTACTTGGCTGCCGGATTGTTCAGAGTTCAAAACTTCATCTCCTGAAGCTTGAACTATGTCTTGAAACATATAAAATTCTACTGCAGAGATTTCACTTGTACAATTGTACTTTTGAGTCAGGCTGGTTAGAAGCAGATCTGCAGTTGCTATAACTGGAACATCAGTGCAGAGTTAAAAGCTGGGCCTCGTTGTGCCTTTTAAGGTCTTTGATGCATGAGACAAAAACTCTCTTCTGCAGAGCAGTAAACCTGTGAAATTAAAAATATTTCTGGAAGTCTCATTTCATACTGGTTATTTGAAAATAAAAAGCTTCCTCCAGAATCTGGAGCTGTTACGAGATGAATAAGTGGCTTCATATAGAGAAGCTGTCTAAGGCTGAAGTATAATTACCCATTCAAAGTATTTCTAGTGAAAAATGAGTTGGAAACCAAGTGCTCTTATGAACACTACTGAATAAAATTCGTTGCATTAAGGACAGTAATGAACGTTTTAGGCAATCAATGTATCATGCTTACTAAAAAGTTGAAGAAAATAGAGGTCTGTAACAGTATATTTAGAGCTGCACTGTGATTTATTCTACTTTCACTGTATTAATCTCACATAGAGAATCGTATGTAGATATTCCTTTTTTTTCCTTTACAGAAAACTTTAAACCATTTATATGCTATAACATCTCGGTGTATCCTCTCTATGGAAATAAAGTAGCAGCCCCATATTCCATACAAACTTATGTTCAACAAAAAAGTAAGTATTTTAAACTAATAATGTTGTGAAAGGCGTGATGTAGTCTGTCGCTCAGGGTTTATTACCTTTGAGCAATCCATTACTGGCATTACTGAAGGAGAGATGCAGATGCTGAAAAAAACTCAGGATTCGCGCTGCCTGATTTCTGTTCATAGATCAGCTACTGAACTGTTCCGTAAAGAAGATTTATTCTTGTGATACAGGTACATTGCTGCTTGAATCCACTCACTCGTTGTAAAGTTTATGTACTGTAGACAAAGCACTTGAAAAGAGTATAGCTACAAACATTAAACAGTTTTTTAAACTGGCAATCTCTTAAATGTTACTGCTCAATTAGATATATAATTAGGTTTGATTTTAATGCTTGACTGCATTTATCAGTCCTAATATATGAAGAAAGTCTACTCACAGAATAAAATGGATAGTTTGAAAAGCTTCCTTTTTGTTAAATTTTATAATGTAACAAAATACTTGCAGTCCTGCACATCAAAAATGGTAAGAAGCCATGATGTTTGCGATTGGATAGAAACTGTGGATGAAATAGTGTTTTGGGGTGGCAGGGGAGGAGGTTTTCTTTATTTGTAGAAGTTTAATGTGAATTCAGTTTAATGTGAATTTCAATATACAGCCAGCTCTAAGAATGTAGTTTAGGGTATTTTCACCTGAAATCTCAAAATTACCAGGTTTTGTGTCTGTGTGTGTATATAGGTCTATGTAACTGTGCCTACACACATAGTACAATGCACTACTAAACAGCATTAATTACTAGGAGGTGGTAATGGAGTATTGAATGTTTGAGTAATTCTTAGTAGCACAAATAGACCTTTGTTTTGAGTGCTTTGCTGTTTATAGGGAGCTGTGAGAGAAGCTTGTCAGGGGTTGTCAGGGAATGGGAAGGAAGATACTTGCTTTAAAACTGAAGCACAGAGAATTCTTGCTTCAAAGTAACGAACAATGCACATGAGGTTGTATTGTATAAGTAGAAAGACTTTGTCTGATGTAATGGGCAAAGACTGGAGGTGCTGGACACTCCAGTTGAATCTCAGCTGAGCCAGAGACATCCTGCATACACAGAGACTTTGCACCTGAGTTACCTTGTAAGTGCCAAAGGAAGTTTTTAGCTCTTGATCTCTCTCTGACATTGTTAATGATCTTGAGGTATTCGGATGCAGTAACACTGAGAACTATGCAAACGTCAGAGTAGATGAGGGGAAGTATTACCAGAAGAAATAACGCGTTAAAGAGGGTGGGAAAAGTTAAGGGCTATATCAGAGCACTAAGAAGACATATTTACTTGTAGTTACCCCTAGTGTTACTGGTATGTGTGAAGTAACACAGATGGATAATGTTGCAGTACTTAGACTATTTTGCTACTTTTTCTAATTTATAATGCTTCTGTGTAGAGCCATCAGAAGGACCTGTGGCTGACACAGGCATTCCAGGGAAAAATGAAGTTACAATAAAATGGAAGGAGATTCCAAAGGATAAAAGAAATGGATTTATCCGTAACTATACTATATTTTATAAACCTGAAGATGGAAAAGAATTGAGTAAGTGTACATTAAACATCAGTGTTTTCAACAGGGTTATGACAATCTGCTGTCTGAAGATAGTTATTTTCATAGTTATTAGCACACTTCATTATAAATATGTCTGAAAATACTGGTACTAAAATGTGGCTTACATAAAGATTGAAAAATTTTTTAGGTTTAATTGAAATTATGGGGTAGTCTAGTGAGTGGTCCCTGCTTTAATACTACATGTGTATTCTTGCTCACTTTCTTAGTTTGGAACTTCCTTTGTACAGCACGGCTTGCTCTCAATCTTTTTTACTATTGGATTGTACTACCCATGGTAGTACAGCCATGACTATTGACCACATTATCCTTTCTGCTTGTCAGATGCAAATCTGATGGATCTCCAGGTGATAAATTCAGTCAGTTTATAGCAGCACTATCACTCCTTTTCCCTTTCCAGACCAGGATGGAAACTCATATATGAGAGCCTTTTTGTGGATTGTTCTCCATTAACAGTAAAAAAAATAGAATTTGCAGGATTATGCCAAATTAGAGGGTATTATATATCAGATACTTGCTGTTTTCCCCTTTTACATATGTACTAGTCTCCCTCTATCTTCAAATCTTTCTTCTATTGTGACACGCCTCTGAAGCCAATGGAAAAAGTCATGATAGAAGTAGAGGAGCTGAAGTGGAGCTAAAATACACTGGAGAGTCATAGATCCTGTGCAAATTCCTGAATTTGAGCCTTGTGAGGGTTCAGTGAATTTACAGGTTCCATGCATGCCCTTGGAAGGGTGCCTTTCCCAAGCCCTCAGCTTCTGGAACAATATGGTGGAAATTTTCTGGTAAAAATGTTTTTACAGTCAGTTTCAGATTAATTTCTTCAAACGTGCTTAATTTTCTGTGCTTGGGATTGCTTTTCTCCTCTGGAAGCTGATAGCATATCTTTTTGAGCGTATTCTTAATCTCCTATCTCAGGAGTAGTGTCCATACGTTCAGAACTTCTCTAGCCTAAATCTCAGCAGCGTCTTTTATGAGAAGTGTTTTGGTGACCTAAATTTGTTGTTCCTGTACAGTTTATGAAGAATGCTGTTGGATCATTCAGTGCTTCAGAAATGGTTCTTTTTCCGCCTTTGTTTTAGACATCACTATTAGCAGACACCAAACATAATGTTTTGTTAAAAAAATCTCAAACTTGGAAATCTTCTGATGTCTTCAGTAGCTTCTGGTATCCAGTTGGTGGCCAGGGCAAGAGCATTCTTGGTAATTTTTAAATTAGAAAGAGGAAGCTGATTATTTCTGTCAGATTCAGTCCTCTACATGCAGTTTTTCTGCCATATTGGTTTCTGAGTTAATTTAATGCTGACTCCTTTGTGTGGGGCCATCCTCAAGACATGCAGCCTGATTTTATGGAGCCATGTCTCCATATTACTTCTAATGTAAAGCAGACTGTGCCCATTTTAGGGGTTCAGATAAGTTTCTTTGGGAAATTAGTTTTAAATAGCAAGTCAAGGGAGTTAAATTTAAATGGCAAAAGCCAACTGTACTGATTTTTTTTTTTTTTTTTGAGGATTCTCTGATGTCGTATCTTTTTTAGAAGAATAGAACGTGTAGTTTGTGCCAAGGTGGCTTCACTGATGGCCTTTAACTGGAGAACTTCACTTTCCACTCCTTGATTTAAGAGAAACTGTTTAATCTCAGGGCATATTGTAGCATATCTATTTCCTGAGTGTTTTTTGACTGAACTGAATGACAGCATGAGTTGGATTTGACTTTATGCACTAGAAACCATTTTAGTGACTTTAATTTCATGATATGAGCTTGCTTTTAACACTGTTTGTAGACATAGAATGTTATGATACATTCTATGCGCTGCTTAAAAAAATTTAAAAGCGAAGCACATCACACTGATTACGGTAATGGAGAAGGTATTGGAAATGCTGAGTTCTATTCAGAAAAGCATTTTGAAACCTGGAAGAAAACTCCTGTTGATTTTGTCTTTCCTCTGACTTTATTGGGGCGATATCCCAGCGTTGATGGATTACATCCTTTTGGATGATCGGTGTCTAACTGCATGTACAAGAAATATAGTTAACAGAGAATCACAGAATGTTAGGGATTGGAAGGG